TCCTATCCCTAGATGCCGTAAAAGCATTTGACCGAATACATTGGCAATTTATGCAGCTAACACTCCAAAAATTCGGAATTACAGATTGGATGCTGTCTGCAATCTGTTCCCTGTACTCTAACCCATCCACAAGGGTATTAACAAATGGCACACTCTCACATACTTTTGGCATTTCCAACGGTACTAGACAAGGCTGCACCCTATCCCCCATAATCTTCACATTACTCATTGAACCTTTAACTTCAAAACTCAGAGACGACCCCACCTTTACAGGAATTACACACCTTAAAACTGAACACAAAATGAGTCTATTTCAGATGATATCATACTAATGATAACTATCCCATACAAATCACTTCAATTGATTCGTGAACATCTCCAAAATTATTAGAAATATCTTTCTACAAACTCAATGAACCCAAATCTTCTATCCTAAACCTCCACACATCTACTAAGACTCAAAAAATACTAACCAAACAATTCCCCTTTTCTTGGGAATGTCACAGCATCCCATACCTAGGAATCAAACTTACCACCACGACAGATCAGCTTTACGCCTCAAACCACAAACTATTGCTGGAATCCATCCCACGGGAACTTAATAATCTCCGTACATCAACACTCTCAAAATGGGGAAGAGTAGCAACCCTGAAAATGAACATACTACCCAAAATCCTTTATATATTTCGCACACTCCCCGTTCCCTTTCCTAATACCTTTTTTAACAAATTACAGGCGATACTTGCTAAATTTCTCTGGAATGCAAAAAAAACCCAGATGTACCACAAATCTATTAATACGCCCCAACGTCAGAGGAGCAGCAGGTCTCCCACACTTAAAATCATATTACAATGCCACTTTCCTGGACCAACTCTATTATTGGTGGCACCCAACTAAGGAAAAAGCATGGTCCACCATGGAAAGGCTTTCACACCCCCAACATAAATTTACTGTTCTTACCACAAACTCCTCAATCCAAAATTCATCTCAAACACCCATCCATTCAAGCCATTGTACAAGCTTGGTACGACTTCCTCACCCCTAACTCGATAGAAACCAAAAGGATGCATACTTCAATTACAACACGACATCTCATCACGCCCTCCCTACACCTGCTGCAATGGGAAAGCCGAGGCATATCTTTTATACAAGACCTCTATACAGCCCACAACTTAAACTCCTTCTCAACCCTTCAGAGAAAATCTAATCTCCCCAACAAAGAGCATTTCACCTACTTGAGAATAGCTCACTCCTTACAAAAGGTAAACATCCCACACTTTTTGAATATTCCCTCCGCAGCATATCAATTCCTAAACAAAACACAATACCCCGAAAAAAGGGATCTCAACCTTTTACACATATATAACCAACTCACAATTTTCCTGTAACGGACCGCCTGACAGTACCTCTATCAGTCCCCTGATAGAGCCTCCCCAGAGTGCGGAGTCTAAGTACCGGAGCACTTGTTCACCAGGGCCCCTGATGGTGTGGATGGACTTGGAGCGCTCCGGGACCAGGTCGCAGCTGCTAGGTATCTCTACCCAGAGGTAGAGGAGTCTGCCAAGGGCTCCAGCGGGTTAAGAGTCTGATGTGAGGGAGCCCGGGGATCCCTGAGGGATGGATGGATGAGCAAAGTCCAAGTCAAACAAGCCAGGTCGGTAACTAGTGGGTCGGTGAAGTACAAGACGATAGGCAAAGGATAGTCGGGTCACACGCAGGGTCAATACCAAAAGATCAGATCTATAAGGGAACATCCAGGAGCAGAGTCAGGCAAGCCAAGGGGTCAGGACAGGAGAAGGCAACAAGGTCAGACAATCCAGATCAGAGTACTCACAACACAGGCAACAGGATACCAAAGACCATTCGGCAACAAGCGTCTGTGCAGGGCTGCTTTAAGTAGCCCGCCCTGCACCTGACAGGTGCCGACTAGGTCCCAGTGCCTGCCTAGTACTGTCAAGATGATGGGTGCGCCTGGGTCCTAGTGCCCTGCCACCTACACATCTTGACAGACGCCTACGCATGTGTAGACCCATGCGTCGCAATGGTCCCTGACATTTCCCTACAGACTTGCTCTCTATCCAATTAGGAGAAACTCCTCTCACAATCAATACCCCCGCACACATGGGAAAAGACCTTTAACATCACTCATAAAGCATCCCATTGTAGCTCCCACTGGGAATCATACATGAAAATTTTGCACCAATGGTACCTAACCCCAACCAAGCTTTCTTTATACTACCCTCAATGCCCATCCGCTTCCTGGAGACAATGCGGAGAAACAGGATCAATCCTCCATATACTTTGGGCATGTAAATCCCTCAGATCTTATTGGAACAGCATTTTTCAACTGCTCTCAATAATAACAGACACCCCAATAACACCAAACCCTGCCCTTGCACTCCTCCACATTGGAATCGACAAATTCCCCCGGGACTCGTACTATTATTATTCATACATTGGCAGCTGCTAAGACCAACCTGACTAAAAATTATGGAATACTACCAAAATTCCTTCCCTTTCCTCACTTGTGTCAGACCTTAACTTCCAATGTGACATGGAAAGAAGAACAGCCCTCAATAATTCTTCCTACCACAAGTTCAAACACCAATGGTCTCGATGGCTACAAAACCCAAACTGCTTCGTAAAAGACTGATAACCTAACTCTATAATACTTAGATCCTTTGCCCATGACTGGTGCGTCCCCCCTTCCCTCTCTCCCCCCTCTCACCCCTTATCTATGTTCCTTATCCTTTCTATAGAACATCACCACCTTTATACAGTTCACACCTAACCGAGCATGCCTCTCAGGTCAATACAACTCAGATATAGAAATACCCAGCCAAATGGTGGGGAATTTACTTTACACAAATGTATCGTTATACCTGACTGTGAACTGGATTTCATACCATGTTTTATTACCGTACCCTGTTTTTACACTGAAATCTTTCAATAAAAATATTGAAATATAAAAACAAGACAATCTGAACACAATCATTGCCTATGCCAGTAATTCCCTGTCACCTGTACACATCAAATCCAATGACTGTGAGAAAGCATTACTAGCCACAGTCTGGGCCCTTCAAAACTTGACTCATACAACTTACTAACCGATCAGTGTTCTCCACCCCTCTCTGCCAATCCCTTCACTGACCTCCAATCAGTGTCCTCCACCCTCTCTCTGCCAATCCCTTCACTGACTTCCAATCAGTGTTCTCCACCCCTCTCTGCCAATCCCTTCACTGACCTCCAATCAGTGTCCTCCACCCCTCTCTGCCAATCCCTTCACTGACTTCCAATCAGTGTTCTCCACCCCTCTGCCAATCCCTTCACTGACTTCCACTAACCCAACATATAAAATTTCAAAATACTAACCACAACCTACAAAGACATCCACAACACTGCCCCTAGCTACATCACCAACCTCATCTGCAGATACTGCCCAAATCACCCACTCCGCTCCTCCCAAGATATCTTCCTCTCCAGCTCCCCCATCACCTCCTCCCACACTCGCATCCAGGACTTCTCCAGAGCCTCTCCCATCCTCTGGAACTCCCTACCACAGCATGTTCAGTCAGCCCCCACCCTGTCTGCCTTTAGGCGATCTTTGAAAACTCACTTATTCAGGAAAACCTACCCCACCCCCCCACCTAAGAACTGTACTTGAATCACCTCCACCAGATCATCCCCTGCAGCTATCACCTTTTGTATCCCCTCCCCCTTCCTTCAGATTGTAAGTTCCACGGGCCGGGCCCTCCTATTCCTTCTGTACTGAAATGTATTGTAATTGTACCGCCCCCTTATATTGTACAGCGCTGCACAGACTGTTGGTGCCATAAATCCTGTATAATAATAATAAACACATAGAAGACCCTGTAACACCCTATATTGGAGGAAGACTACGCCCAAAAAGAAGACCTCCAATTATTAGTGACATCCAAATCTCAATTCAGTATTAGAGATGGATTACTGATAAGAACATCCAAAAATGGTGTCCAACAATGGGGAGTCCCCACTATATGTAGAGGACTCAGGTTACAACATCTCATTACACAGAGCATTGAGGTCAGCTTGTAAGTTGGAGACATCCTGTAAGGACGTTATTCCCCGGCACAGCTTGGTGTCATCTGCAAAGACTGGAATGGGATTTATAATCTCACACCCCATATTGTTTATATATATATTAATAAGTAAGGGTCCCAACACTGAACCCTGGGGTACCCCACTAATAACACTGAACCCTGGGGTACCCCACTAATAACACTGAACCTTGGGGTACCCCACTAATAACACTGACCCCTTGGGGTACACCACTAATAACACTGAACCTTGGGGTACCCCACTAATAACACTGAACCTTGGGGTACCCCACTAATAACACTGAACCCTGGGGAACCCCACTAATAACACTGAACCTTGGGGTACCCCACTAATAACACTGAACCCTGGGGAACCCCACTAATAACACTGAACCTTGGGGTACCCCACTAATAACACTGAACCTTGGGGTACACCACTAATAACACTGAACCTTGGGGTACCCCACTAATAACACTGAACCTTGGGGTACACCACTAATAACACTGAACCTTTGGGTACCCCACTAATAACACTGAACCCTGGGGAACCCCACTAATAACACTGAACCTTGGGGTACCCCACTAATAACACTGAACCTTGGGGTACACACTACTAATAACACTGAACCTTGGGGTACCCCACTAATAACACTGAACCTTGGGGTACACCACTAATAACACTGAACCTTTGGGTACCCCACTGATAACACTGACCCTTGGGGTACCCCACTAATAACACTGAACCTTGGGGTACCCCACTAATAACACTGAGCCTTGGGGTACACCACTAATAACACTGAACCTTGGGGTACCCCACTAATAACACTGAATCCTGGGGTACCCCACTAATAACACTGAGCCTTTGGGTACACCACTAATAACACTGAACCTTGGGGTACACCACTGACAACACTGAACATTGGGGTACACCACTGACACCCCCAGACCATTCAGAGTATGAATCATTAACCACTACTCTCTGAATACGATCTTTTAGCCAGTTTTCTATCCATTTACATTCAGAATTTCCAGCTCATAGACTTTACCTTACACATTAGCCGTGTGTGGGGAACTGTGTCCAAGTATACCACGTCCAATGCCACCCCTCTGTCCAAGTATACCACGTCCACCGCCACCCCTCTGTCCAAGTATACCGCGTCCACCGCCACCCCTCTGTCCAAGTATACCACGTCCACCGCCACCCCCCTCTGTTCAAGTATACCACGTCCACCGCCACCCCTCTGTCCAAGTATACCACGTCCACCACCACCCCTCTGTCCAAGTATACCACGTCCACCGCCACCCATCTGTCCAAGTATACCACGTCCACCACCCCCCCCCCTGTCCAAGTATACCACGTCCACCGCCCCCCTCTGTCCAAGTATACCACGTCCACCGCCACCCCACTGTCCAAGTATACCCGTCCACCGCCCCCCCTCTTTCCAAGTATACCACGTCCACCGCCACCCTTCTGTCCAAGTATACCACGTCCCACCGCCCCCCTCTTTCCAAAGTATACCGCGTCCACCGCCACCCCTCTGTCCAAGTATACCGCGTCCACTGCCACCCCTTTGTCCAAGTATAGCGCGTCCACAGCCACCCCTCTGTCCAAGTATACCACGTCCACCGCCACCCCTCTGTCCAAGTATACCACGTCCAACGCCAAACCTCTGTCCAAGTATACCACGTCCACCGCCACCCTCTGTCCAAGTATACCATGTCCACACCCCACTCCTCTGTCCAAGTATACCACGTCCACCGCCACCCCTCTGTCCCAAGTATACCACGTCCACCACCACCCCTCTGTCCAAGTGTACCACATTCACCACCACCCCTCTGTCCAAGTATACCACGTCCACCACCACCCCTCTGTCCAAGTATACCACGTCCACCGCCACCCCTCTGTCCAAGTATACCACGTCCACCACCACCCTCTGTCCAAGTGTACCACGTCCACGCCACCCCTCTGTCCAAGTATACCACGACCACCGCCACCCCTCTGTCCAAGTATACCACATCCACCGCCACCCCTCTGTCCATGTATACCACATCAGCGCCACCCATCTGTCTAAGTATACTGCCTCCACCGCCACCCCTCTGTCCAAGTATATACCACGTCTACAGCCACTCCTCTGTCCAAGGTTTTGCTCACCTCTTCATAAAAGAAATCATATTTCTGTGACAACTTCTGTCTTTGATGAATCCATGTTGTCTGTGGCTTACAATATTTGTTTCCAGCAAGAACTCCTCTCTCTGGTCTTTTATTAAACTCTCCAGTATCTCCCAAACTATAGAAGTTACACTAACAGGTCTATAATTACTTGAGATTTTGTCCCCTTTATAAATATTGGCCCCACATTGGCCTTACACCAATCCAGTGGTACTATGCCAGTCATTAAAGAGTCCCTAACAATGAGAAACAATGGCTGTGAGATGACAGAGCTGAATTCTTTAAGGCCCCGTGGGTGTCTGCCATCCGGTCCAGGGGCTTTATTCTGGCTAAATATTTCTGCATCATATCAATTGTGAGCCAATGTGGATCATGTGGGGGGTGTCAGTACCACCCCCCATTATGGACAAGAGCCCCCCCATGCTCCTTTGTATACACAGAGCTGAAGAAGGGATTTCATACATTGTCCTTCTCTTTGTCCCCCCCCCTCTAGAGGATTCTGTAAAGGGCCTACATGCTGGGACCGGACCTTTCTACTATTCATATATTGGAGGAATGTTTTGGGGTCGTCCTGATATCTTTCTGTCGTTTCTTTTCAGTTTTTGCGCCTTTATTTCCTTTTTGCATCTTCTGTTCTATTCTTTGTAATGTGTAAACGATGATCGCGTTCCTTCATTGTTATATGTAATAAAAGCTCTTTTCTTATTATCTATCGCTTTTGTAACTTTGGCCGTAAGCCACATAGGTTGGATTTGTAGCCTTTTATACTTGTTGCCCATGGGAATATATTTTGCAGTGTGGTCACATACAGTCTTTGTGAAGAACTCCCATTTCTGTGTTGTGTTCATCAATTATTCCCTCCCAGTCTAAGTCTTGGAGAGCAGCTCTCAGCCTTGGAAAATTAGCTCTCTTAAAGTTGAGTGTTTTTATTTTTCCCTTATGTGCTAGCTACAGCTAACAATAAATGAAATCATGTTATGGTCACTGTTACCCAGATGTTCTTTTTATATGGACATTCGTAATAAGCTCTGCATGGTTGGAGATGACCAGGTCCAGCAGAGCATCATTCCTAGTTGGGGCATCTATGAACTGCACCATAAAAAAGTCCTGTAGAAGGTTTATACATTTTTGGCCTTTAAATGTTCCTGCAGTACCATTACTCCAGTCACTTTCCGGGTAGTTACCATCCCCCATTATTATCACTGTCCCAGCCCTTTCCATCTGTGGGAGGAGCTGAGTCTCCACCTCCTCATTAACACTGGGAGGCCTATAACAAACTCCAATGATTACCTTTGTAGTACCGCCCCCCATGTGCAGTTCCACCCATAATCCTTCAGCCTCATCACACTCTCCATCAACTAGGTCCTCTTTCACACTCGCTCTGAGATCACTTCTCACATAGAGACAGACACCACCACCTTTCCTATTTCCCCCGTCTCTCCGAAAGAGAACCTAGCCAGGAATATGAATGGCCCAGTCATGTGAGGAATGAAGCCAAGATTCAGCAATACCAATTCAATCCTAGTTCTCTTCATGCACCAAACCTTCCAACTCACCTATTGTGCTGGGCACACTTCTGGCATTGAGGAACAAACACTTTCATTCACCGACACCTTGTTCACACGGATTTTGTGTATTTTTTATTTTCATACAAATGGTACCAATTCCACTGGTTGTTTGTAACATGGGAACCTTCTTATCATCTGCCATAGCCCTCCCCCCATCTTTCCCCATTCCCCCCCAATAAGTACTGACCCCTGTCTGATCTATCTACCCCGTTATAATACCTGATGTACAGGAAAACAGGACTTCAGTGAGGAACATTTATCTCACTCAGGACAGGAAAGTAGCTTTACACCTTGTGAGATCTCTGATGTCTGAAAAGAGTGGACTTATATGAAAAACATTTCCCGCACTCAGGACAGGAATATGGCTTCTCCACTGTGTGAGATCTCTGATGTTTGTAAAAACTGGACTTCACTGAAAAACATTTCCCGCACTCAGGACAGGAATATGGCTTCTCCACTGTGTGAGATCTCTGATGTTTGTAAAAAACTGGACTTCACTGAAAAACACATTTCCCGCACTCAGGACAGGAATACGGCTTCAATCCCGTGTGAGTTCTCTGATGTTCGTAAAGATGGGACTTATCTGAAAAACATTTTCCACACTCAGGACAAGAATACGGCTTCTCCCCTGTGTGCAATCTCTGATGTCTGTAAAGATGAGACTTCACTGAAAAACATTTCCAGCACTCAGAACAGGAATACGGCTTCTCACCTGTGTGAGACCTTTCATGTATGACAAGATTTGATTTTTGTGAAAAACATTTCCCGCACTCAGGACAGGAATACGGCTTCTCCCCCGTGTGAGATCTTTTATGCACATTAAGATAGGATTTAGAACGGAAACCCTTCCCGCACTCAGGACAGGAGAAGCTCTTCCCTGTTGGAAGGCAAGCCCGGTCCCGCACAGTTTGAGGTGCCTCAGGATACGAGGAATCCGATGGTCCATCTACACTGGGTGGTGCCGGATGGACATTGGAGGAAGCCGGGTTTTCTCCTGGACTATACTGTGTGATGTCCTCATCTTCTACTTTCCAGTCTGGAGACAAAGGGAGACAATCCTCGGAGGTTTTCCTCATCTCCCGGCCATGGACTAAAAATACAAAGACAAAGAGGATTACTAGACAGGAGCTGATTGGTTCCCCCAAACCAGGACTCCGCCCACATCAGGCAGCTTGGTCTCTGAGGAGCTTACAATTCCACCCTCAAGGGAACTAGGAAATAGCTCCTCTGATCTCTTACCAGGTAATTTCTTTATTCATGGACCTTAGTCAGAGAGTGAGGAAACAACCAGAAGTGTCTTTTATAGGAGGGACAGTGATGAGGGGATTATAGGACGAGGGTCCCCACCCCCTCTATCACTCATCACCATCTTCCCAACACAAGAAGTACTGCACTTCCTTATTTAGTCCATGATTTAGTCATGAAGAACAGCGGGGCTGAGCCCCACCAGAGGTCAGAGAGTGAGGATGGGGGGAGAACAACCAAGATGGAGACTGGACTGATCCTGAAGTCAGGAGTATGTAATGTACAATATAAATTATACAGTATAAGGGTCAGGACTCATAATATTGGTATTCAGTAATCAGTGGAAGCATAAATGTTTACTGTAGACAAGTTGCAGAGATCCCACATCGCTGCCTCCCATCTCCTGAGACTGCACTCAGTGACTTGGGTCTGAGACACTACAGACATATCCCTCCACCGGCACAGCCAGCAGAACACAGAGCAAGGAACCCTGGGAGGATTGTTCTGTCAGAGATCTTACTAGATCTAGGCATGGGGAAGAACACCCAAGACACACACCCCAGGTGCCTAGGTCTAGTATCGCTTGTGCTGAAAAACATTATGTTGCCAGCTGAACCCCAGAACCTCCATAAATCCAGTCTAGATACATAAATTGTGTCTGCAGCACAGAGAAGGAAGATTATCCGAGAGAAATCCAGGAATACAGGACGGGGAACACAGCTCAGGAAAGTGACCAGGGGATTACAGGCTGATATCACCCAGTCCCCGCCCTACTCTGGACCAATCAGTGAGCAGTATGGGTGGAGGAATGGATTTAGTGTTCATGACCCACCTGTGCTGATCTCTGTAGGAGTGTCCTCCTCTATAAATGTCCCCGTTATTCCATCCTCCTCCATAGACTGCTGATCATCCCTCACATACGCCTCTTCTTCTTCTGCTTTCACCTCAAATTCTATATCGATTGGATCTCCACTCTAAATCAAGGAAATGAGAGAGAATATCACATAAAAGTATCCACTAATCCCCCCTACAAGTCCATGTTCTAGATTCTCCATCCCACCAACCTTGCAATGGTGAGGGATGGTGTGACCTTCCTGTGTGGAATCCCGGGAATACAGAGGACTGGGACATCTCTCTGGTGGGTTCCTGGTATTAGGTGGCTCCATCATATCCTTGTGTCCTTCTGAAAACTCCTCCATCACTCCATACTCCTCATCCTCCTCTTTATACTCTTCTTTAACAACAATATTCTCATCCCCGAGGATTCCACTCTGAAAGATATAATAAAACATTCATTGTAACAAACATGCTGTGTATAAATCACAACTACCAATAATTGTCATCATCTACCTGATGATGGTGAGGGATGGTGTGACCTTCCTGTGTGGAATCCCGGGAATACAGAGGACGGGGACATCTCTCTGGTGGGTTCCCATGACTGGATCCATCTGTAGGAAACACACACACTGACTGAATCCATTGTTTCTATGTGTTTATCAGATGATGGGGGATCTAGGTGGATCCTCCGTACTGCTCTCTCCTTTACAATAAAGTCTCCTCTTACCCGGTGATGTGAGGGGCGGCTGATTGTCCATCATGACGTCCTTGTAGAGATCCTTGTGTCCTTCTAAATACTCCCACTCCTCCATGGAGAGAAATAGACAGTGACACCCTGACACCTTATAGGAACCTGACACACACAATGATACAGTCACCATCCAGACACATCCCTTGTCTGTTACTGGAGAATGTCCCAGAATTCCCGGCACCGCTCACCTCTCCTGTCAGCAGCTCCATCATCTTCTTGGTGACTTCTAGAATCTTCTGCATGTTGTGTCTCTCAGGGTTTAGGGAGTCACATGGAGGCACTGTGATGTTCATATGATCACCTGACTTCAGGAGAGGAAATCTCTGTATTGAGGAACCAATAGGAATATCATGTTAGAATCCCAGAATCCTCCTCACCTCTCCGGTCAGGTCTGTGTTTTATTAATAGAGATGAGAGTGATGTCATGTGACCTCCCAGAATCCTCCTCACCTCTCCGGTCAGGTCTGTGTTTTATTAATAGAGATGAGAGTGATGTCATGTGACCTCCCAGAATCCTCCTCACCTCTCCGGTCAGGTCTGTGTTTTATTAATAGAGATAAGAGTGATGTCATGTGACCTCCCAGAATCCTCCTCACCTCTCCGGTCAGCAGGTAGATGATCTCCAGGGTGAGGTTTAGTATCTTCTCAGTCATGTGACTCCGGTCCTCCTCCATCCTCATTGGTGCCATCATGTGATCTATACAGGTCTCCTTGTAGACGGATAACTTTGGGAAATGAAAGTAAGAATGATTTGGATGTATTGGTCACACAATAATAGGATGTGGATGTGAGGGGGGAATAGGAGGGTTGCTGGACATGTAAGGACTACTCCCCCCATGGGAAGACATTTAGTTTGGACTGTTTAGTGTTTGTTACATCTTGAAGGACCTGGAACCCTCTTGGGCTGTCGGATCAGAAATCCTCTTTTCTCTGTTGGGTTTTGTTTTTTCTGAACTGGTTTGCAGCTGAATCAGGACTCCTCTAAGAACAAGTGCTCACTAAGTGAAGGAATGTCCTTCTCTATGTTACTTGAAATTCCAGAACATGTCACATGACCAGTGAGACAATAACATGGTTAAGATTGCTGGTTCTGTACGGTCGGAAAAAAAAAGTACAGGTGGGGGGGCACCACAGACCCAGAGACCTCCCCTCCTTCCGAGTCCCCTGAGCCCTTCAGCCCCCTATTTCCCAAAGCCCTGCAGCCTGACTACCCTCTAAAAGGTCCCAAATTCAAACTTCAGAGGCCCTAAAGTCCTTCAGCTTTACTAAACCCTCACAGCCCCTCATCTCCTCTACTTCCCTCAGACCCCTCAGTATTTCCCTCCCTCTGACACCAATGATGGAACATATTCTTCATGGCCGGCTGGGGAATGTTTCCTTCCTCCTGAGCAGCAATGTAAGGGGCTCTATGCTCCATACTCCTGACCCCGGCACTCCATCATTGTGTTGGCTGCATAGTGTAATGATTGCCCATTGGCTGCCTGTGTAGTGTCATCATTGCCCTTTGTAGGCCATGTATGGTCAGGATGGTCCTTGTCTTGTCTATTTATTGTCAGTGCTGTTTGTTTAGAGGACCATATTACTAGAATTTATCTCCACAATGAGGAGAATGTTCCGGCCCCGGAAGTGGGGGAATGTTCTGCCCCTGAAGGGGTTCATCTGGGTTCCCACACTATATATGTGTGTGTGTCATCATCTGCTGGAGATAAAAGACGTCACAGTGACTATGGAGGAAGAGGACGGACATGACTATGGAGAAAGAGGACGGACGTGACAATGGAGAAAGAGGACGGACGTGACAATGGAGGAAGAGGACGGACGTGACTATGGAGGAGAAGAGGACGGACGTGACTATGGAGGAAGAGGACGGACGTGACTATGGAGGAAGAGGACGGACGTGACTATGGAGGAAGAGGACGGACGTGACTATGGAGGAAGAGGACAGACGTGACTATGGAGGAAGAGGACGGATGTGACTATGGAGGAAGAGGACGGACGTGACTATGGAGGAAGAGGACGGACGTGACTATGGAGGAAGAGGACGGACGTGACTATGGAGGAAGAGGACAGACGTGACTATGGAGGAAGAGGACGGACGTGACTATGGAGGAAGAGGACGGACGTGACTATGGAGGAAGAGGATGGACGTGACTATGGAGGAAGAGGACAGACATGGCTATGGAGGAAGAGGACAGACATGGCTATGGAGGAAGAGGACGGACGTGACTATGGAGGAAGAGGACAGACATGACTATGGAGGAAGAGGATGGACGTGACTATGGAGGAAGAGGACAGACATGATGATGGAGGAAGAAGATGGACTATGGAGGAAGAGGATGGACATGACGGGGGGTTACTGGGTGTAAATAGGAAATAACATTATTACCTCCTCTGCTGCCACTTCCCCCAATGTCTCCTCTTCTTTGTGCCACATGGAACGTTCTATCTGTACCTGACATAATTTCCTGTCTGTACCTGACATCACTTCCTGTCTGTAGCTGACATCATTTCCATAGAGACTTCCTGTTTGGGTATAAGCGAGATCACCACCTTGTGGAGCTCAGAGGAACTGCAGCCCTGAGAAATGTCTCAAGGTGTGATCCCGGCCTTGTGCTGTGTTCAGCATTTTGAATGTTTTCTTGTCATATTTGCCCTTTAACCCCTTCAATTCCGGGCACTTTTCCCCCCTTCCTGCCCAGGACAATTTTCAGGTTCCCCTATCCTTCCTTCAGGAGGTCCAGTCCCCACCATCTGGGAATACAGTATGTATGGTAGGTATATGTGAGCGCACAAAAATGGATATCAGCCGCTATGCACAAGGTAACCAAGTAAATCCTTACAATAAGCAGTGTAAAATAATAGTGTGCAGCACGAAAATTATTGTAAAAGGTCAAAAAGGTACATAAAAGTGACATAAATATTCACAAATTGATTCTGAAAAATAAACTCGTGATATAAATAACACCAGACATATAAAAGTTCATAAAGTGACTAAGTGCTCATATATCCTGTACAGTCCTGGAAACGGTGCTGTGCAATCAGGTCTGGAAGAAATGCGCACTCACCGGAACGCGTAAAATAATGTGCGTTTTGTAATAAATCCTGCTGTCATCTAATGGTCATCTCAGGGCAGGAAGAGAGTAAACTCCCTCTCATGGGGGATGGGTCCTGGGACTTTAAGATGATGAATCTGGGTTTTCCAGAGTTCGCCTTAAGGGATGGATGGGTGCAGCTCACTGGGTGTAATAGAGGCTCCCTCTCTGGGAACTGGGCATTGGATGTCTGTAAATCAATACTCCCGGGGGAGTCAAGGCAAACACATCCCATAGTGTAGTAGTATGAATGTTTATTGAGATAATAATAGGTATCCAGATTGAGTAAGCAAAACCACATAGGGTGAGTAAGCAAAACCGCATCATGGATTGGCTCCTTCTTACGCGTTTCGTGCACCCACAGGCCATCTGAGAGTTAAAGATGGCCGCCGGAGCTCCACGTTGCTCCGGGCGGCGTGACATCATGGCATTATTGGGCTCCTTCTTACGCGTTTCGTGCACCCACAGGTCATCTGAGGGGAACACCAATAATGCCAAGCCGCGTGCCATCAGTTTGTCCTATATAGACGACGGCGCATTCGCATTATACATGCGCCATCTTTGAGAAGACGTAACTTAGTTCCAAATTATACGATACGCACGCATCGGCTAATGCCGCCACCAGAGGGCGCCATTTTTCCTTAGGTATTTTGAAGGATTGATATACCACCAGATATAAATATAAAAATATAAAATATACCAAGGGAAGAATGGAAGCTGAGGTGTCATATATGTCAGGGAAAAACAAATACCAAATAAAATCATTATAATTCCCAAACAACATATATACTATATAGTCATCAACAATGATATACCACCAGATATAAATATATATATATACGGTGTCATATAAAAAAAAAAAAAAAAAAAAAAAAAAAAAAAAAAAAAAAAAATAAAAAAAAAAATAAAAAAAAAAAAAAATCAACAAAAAATACCAAAAAAAAAAAATAAAAAAAAAAAAACCAAAAAAGAAAAAAAGCTGAAAAAAAAAAAAAAAAAAAAAAAAAAATACCAAAAAAAATCAAAAAAAATTCCCAAAAAAAAAACTAAAAGTCATGAAAACAAAAAATATACCAAAAAATATAAAATAAAAAAATAAAAAAAAAATGGAAAAAAAAAAAAAAAAAAAAAAAAAAAAAAAAAAAAAAAAAAAAAACCATAAAAAAAATATAATCCCAAAAAAATAATATATAGTCAAAAAAAAAAAAAAAATAAAAAAAAAACCAAAAAAAAAATAAATAATACCAAAAAAAAAAAAAAC